TATAAGAAGTCACATGTTGGATTCTATTTACAACCTTGAGCACTCAGTGCCTACCTCATCAATTCAAATATATATATACTCTTTTAGTTCTTAATATAAGACTTATTTAACTAATTTAATTAGATTAATGAAATTAGGTAAGTTAGTTAATTATAAGAAATGTAACAAGTTTTTCTTAAAATACCATAATTATCTTTCTTAATACTTCCTCTTCTTCTTCTACTTGATTATGGTTAAGGAAGCAATTATAGGGGTAATTTAGAGAAAATTGATAAATATGATAAATATGTCTTATATTTAGGATTAAAACTAACTCAACAATTAAGTCATATATTAAGAATTGGAGGAGTATATTCTTTAATAACTTTACGCATTGATGTGGTGTAACAAAATAATACTAGTATAGATGAGTACTGGCCAAACTAGAATATTTGATTGGTAACACCATCATATCATATATATGAAATAAATATACTCAATACAATTCTACCTTATGCTCTTCTATTAATTGAGAGTGCTACTAATATATTATAAAAAAGCTTAGTATGATAAGAACAATGATTTGGCTTGATGATTCCTTATTGAGGTACAAACATCTTCTGAGGATGTGATCATTCACATTTCACTGTAACTGATGACTACTCATGTACCGTGAAATAATGGAAACCCAATAAAGTTGAGTATTATGTATCTTTACCAGAGCTAATTTTAAAAATTAATCTCTGTATGGTGTAGCTTATGCGAAGCTAATAGTATCAAAAGAATTTAGTTGAAATGAATATACTTTTTGCCATCAGTATTTTAGGCGAGATTAGACTTTGTTATCCGTGAATATACTCTCTTCGTCTCCAAAGAATTGACAAAACCAAAATGTTACATTTTTTTTATTTTTTCCCTTTTTTTTTAATTTGGCCGGCAGTTATAGAATACTTTTAGACAAACAAATAAAAAACCAAAAAAAAATTCGACAAGCAAAATTTTACTGGCTACAGGTACTATATCATGCATATCAATATATTTATATTTAGTGGCAAATAATTTTGATAATTTGTAATTTTATTATATTGTAATACATGTACTATATTATGATAATTTTATCATTGATAACCTGCTGTCATTTTTTCGACTTAAAATTGAAAAAAGAAAAAGTCCAATAAAAATTTGGTTCATCTTCGTCCATCTAAAAGCGTGATTGATATTAATTCAAACGCATGTCGTTTAGAACATCACTTTCCTTCGCTTTATAGTTTACAAGAGCATCATAGCCATCAAATGGGCCCCGCGCAACGACGCTGTCATGGGCTCACCGTGGCTGACACGTCACCAGACCACGTGCCCCCACACCCTCCCGCGGGCCCTTTCTCTCTCTATCTTTCTCGGTCTTCATGGCACATGACAGGTTCAAGTGTTGAAGATTCTGTCCAGCTAGCTCATCAACTCTCCTAAATTAGCTCAGCCGTTGAACTTTCCCCGGGCCCCGTACAATCTCTTCCCCACCCCCTCTTTTCCTCTGCAATTTCCTTCCAATTTCTCTGACGCTGGATTGGACCCAGCGTCAAGAAATTCCAAGGCCTTCTTTCTCAATCTCCGCCATTTCCTTCGCCTCTTCTTCCCCGGAATATTTACTACCTGCCAATCCACTCCGCTTCATCTTGATTCCGGCATTTCCTTTTACCCATTTCTCTCTTCCCTTCTCGACAAGGAGGGTCCCGCTTTTGTCTGGGCACCAAGGACACAACCCTTGGCCGAAGATTTCGGATTTGTTCGTCGGTTGCTCAAGACGAAGAAAGCGAAGCTTTGGGGATAATCCCGTACGGTTGGTTTCTCTGCATTGGGTTTCTGGGGACGCAAGGATTTGCATTTACAGCTGAATTGGCCATCAGGGACCCTCAGAGAACAAAATTACATGCCAACGGTGGGTGTAGCCAGATGCGAAAAACCCCCCATTGCCGAATTGTTCTTGAATATCGGAATCCTTTGATCGTTGTTTTATGGATTCAGCATTTTCGTCCTTGAGTTTTCTAATATTTGGCTATATCATTAGCCTTTATGTTTTACTTGTTGCATCCCAGATGGTCAGTAGTAATGTAATGTCATCATCTCCTACTCATCCCCCGCCACCGCCTCCCCCTCCCCCTCCCCGGCTCTCTCCCCCTCCACCGCGGCCGCCTACTCCTTCTCCACCACCGCCACCTCCGCCCCCGCCCCCTCCCCCTCCTCCTCCTCTGCCTTCGCCTCCGCCTCCATCATCACCTCCACCGCCCGGAGCTAAGCTGTCACCTCCGCCGCCGCTATCACCATCGGCAGCGACTCCTCCGCCAAATCCTGCTTCCCCGACGAATGAAGTGACGGTGGACAAACCTCCACCGCCTCCTCTTGATGACAACCACCTTAACCAGCTCCGGCAACCGCCGCCCTCGATGAATGCGGGTAAGAAGATTGGGCTATTGTTTTTGGGTATGGCGGCATTAATGCAAGTTGGGGTGATCGGGTTATTAATATATAAGCGAAGGCAACTCTTAAACGACTCATGACAGATATGAAGCTTGTCCTTTGGAAAATTACTTTGCGAGTTCTCTTGTCAATTCTTCGTTATTTGGTAGAGTTGAAATTCTTGACTGAGATTTTGTATATTTTGGCAAGAAAGCAAGGGCCACAAGAATTGACCATCAATTGTGGATTGCTTGAGGCATCGCTGTTCCCGTTTGGGCCTTCAGAGTGTTAATTTAGTTGATGTTGTCTGCTCTTAATGTTAATTTCTATTCGTATCATTCCTTCCCCTGTTAGTTTCTTTACATGGCTTATAATTAACAGAAGCCCTTTATTCTTCTTAAGTTCTTTCTTCTTCTTTTTTTTCTGACATTTTCACTGTACAATGATGTTAGAAAGTAATGGAAATTTAACAATGACATTTGTATACTCTTTTCCTTTCGCTATTTGGTGTGGTCGTTACCGTGGAATGTATCTACTCCTAGTTGTCGAGTGTATGTGCTGACCAGAATTTATGTGATTATTCTTAAGGTTGCTCCAAACCAATGCGACTTCTTAGCTAAAGGCTTGTTTGAGATAGCATTCAAAAGTTTATACAAGTAAGTCGAAATAAAACCCCTTTGCATATTTACCTTATATTCTATAAATTGTGATTAAAAAATTATTTATAAATTATTCCAAATAGAGCTAAAACGCTCTCTAGATAAAAGTGTTCTACACAAATAGTAAGTGCTGAGTAATGCACATTTCACCGTACATTACAGAATTTGGTGTCATGACTTTCGGACAAATTTTAATGCTCCCGCCATGGGTTTTGTTTTAAAATACCTGCCACTTTGGAATTTCAATGAAGTTTTTACCCTTAATTAACAAAGAGAGTCATTAAGACGGCAGAAAATGAAACAAAACAAATGCTGTGTAGTCTTCTCCTCTAACATAAATGTCAGAGAGTATGCCTATCTTCTTATGGTTTGCAGAAGTATTCTGTGTCTTTCTAGATCTGTAGTTTCTGCATGCCTGTCTTGCATTGAAAGTTGTCATGTTAATGTGTCGTGCATTTTAAAGTGAGCAAATTTGATGACTATTTACTCTTAGAAGGTATCAGGGTGCCCATTGTTGTGCTTGCAACTTGGTTTATGCTTGCTGTTACTACTTCTGTCGGTAACTGTTTATTAAAGAGACGTTGAACACTGCACAGATTACCTGAAATTCCAGAGGGGGATGTAGTTTAGAATTGAGCATGGATCAGGGTAAAGGTTTGATACCTGCGGGGCTTACATTGATTCGGTTAGCTTAATAATTATGGCCAAGCGTGGTATTTCGTTGAGCCAGTTCATATTATTCAACATGCGACTTGGATAAACATTAGTCCTTATGGACCTTTCTCGTTCAACTATCTTACCATGTTGATGATGTCCGAGAATCCAGAGAAGCTGAACACTCTGAACAATAGTTGGTTTAAGCATATTATAGCATTAGTCAGGACTCAAAATCCAGACATTGGGTCAAGCAGGTATTCGGATAGTATGTTCTGCTATAGCCTATAAATTTGATTTTAAGCTGGTAAAGCCGGCATAACCATGCACAATGGAATGATAATTCTTTGAAAAACAGGTGAAATAGCGTTATTTTCACGGTTGATAGTTAGCCAAGGAGATTATGTGCGCATGCACTCAGGACATGACACACTCGTAGATCCGACCGACCTGACAAAATACATACGGTTGAAATGTAATTTAGAAATCAGGTATTTGTACGGGTGTCTATCGTAGTTTGGATAGGGTCATGGGGTTCTGCTTGGTCAATTTTGAGGGATGCTGAATCTGAAAATGTTAAAACAGGACCGAGACTATGGTCTTACTTGGTCCAATTTACAGTGTTTCCTTAAATGGTTCTGCCAATACTTTTTCGACAGCAGACAAGGAATTCGTAGAGTATGCGGGCATACGATTTGCTTTCATTATTAACGCTATGAAGTTGATGAACTTGTTTTTTGTCCCCAGTAAATAATTTGACACCAATTTGTCTTGCCTTAGTTGTACTGACTATTTGAAATATTTAAAAAATGATTGATTTAGTCTTACAACTGGTAGCAATTTATGGGGGATTGGTAGGAGAAAATTGCATATGGCTTTACAGAGAACAGTGCAATTGGTGGTGCGTACCCTGACTTTATTGATTATAATTTTACTTGGTACGTCATATTAGGCTTTGGACTCTACTAGAAATTAAATTCTTGTCCCAGACAACTTTGAGTTTTCTTTTAATCCAATAAAGGAACTCCAATATTTGGTAAGCTTAACGCTTATTGTGATGTTAGATTACTGCGTCCTAAGTCAGTTGGCAAAGGAAGGAACCAAGGGCAAAAACAAAAGCACAAATATGTGAACCACTATTTGATTAAACTTTGAAAATGAAACCCTAGCTGTTAAAATGTTAGCAGCTCAAGCTGTCCATTGGAAGTGCGACAGAGAATTTTGTAGTTTTCTGTTCAGGAGACTTCAGGGAGCTAGTGTATCCCTCACAGTGTTGGTACAAGTTACTGATGATTCATTGCACATGTTCTCTGTTGGTCCAAAGACATATTCAGAAGAAGCAGAAGCTATTATCAAAGTAGAGACCGCGGGGTAACAACACTATGCTTTCCAGTCAAACAACAAACTGTGCAAATCTGAGACAACCTTTTTCCCTTCAAGGAGAAGAAAGAAAGAAACATATAAATATCACGAAAAGTACAGACACAGATGACAGATCCTCTTACTGTGGCCCCCTACTCAACAAAGACCACTCTTTGGCAAAAGAAAGCTACCCCAGCCATAATAAGTTCTTTTATCTGCAGCAATTCTCTAATGAGTCTTATCATTCATCTGTCCAGGAAAGGAGGCTAAATAAATTAAAAGAATTATAAAGATAAGTATAGAAAGGAGTATTAAGACGTCAGATACAACGAAGAGGAAGCTACAGATAATAAAACATTACCAGAGGGGATTCTGGAATTTGAAGCGAGATCAAGCCAGGAATCTGTGTTCTTTGGAGGCCATTCACCAAAGAAATGATGAAGGGATCTCTGGGTCATCTCGGTTTCATTCTCTTGTTTTATTTGCCCCGGTGAGTTGAAGTCTCTTTCCATGACAAAGCAATGTTGCTCTTCTTGCTGTCTTGGAGTTGGATTATCATTCATGTTATGGAACTGGGAGTTTGAATAAGACTTACAGGAGCTCAATGGTAATTGTTGATATGAATCAGGAAAGCTCCTAACACTCCCCGAGGCTTCTGGAAAGAAAGCTCTCTCATCCACACCTTCCCTCATTCCATGAGTATGCCTGCTGGAAATAATAAACTCAAACTTACTAATTAACCAATAGAAAGAACATGTATAACAAGAAGCTAGCCCTTGGTTTCAGACCAACCTATAGTCCTCATCCCTAGAATAAGGTCCAGAGTCCAAAAATAGCCGGTGGGCATTGCTTTTTGGAGAAGGAAAATCAGAATCAAGAGGTTTACATGAGGTTGAATGGGTGTAGTACAAGGGATTAAGAGAAGAATTTTGGTAAACATGGGAATAAGGTTGGGTATCGGAGGGCACAGAAGAGGGCAATAGAGAGAAAGGGAAAGAAGTTGTTGACGGTGGATTGGCATTGCTCATGGTAAGGCTTCTGTTGCTATACGGTGAAGAGATTGGCTGTGATGTGTTTGTTGAAATGCCTGTTGTTGCTGTTGAAGAAATTTCCACAGGCTTTCTTGAACGGTTTTTCCCCCTGTGCATGTGCCTCTCACAGTATTTTGAGTCCGGATAGGCTTCTTTTGAGCATCTCCATTTCTTGCCATCTGTTCTTCTGCACCTTCCTGGCTCTGGGTCTACTTTTCTGCCATATCCCATTTCTAGGCATCCCCATCCAACTGCAGCAATATAATATAAATAAATAAAAATAGGAAAAAACTGAACTATAATCTTTAATAACCACAAAATAACAAGCTTATCCTTACTTGGATGGAAGGGGAAGAGCCTTGAAGAAGAAGAAGAAGAAGAAGAAGACATTGAAGAGTCAAGGCTTCTTCCGACAGAGTAAATGAGATCAGGTGGGATGGGGCTCCCTGAGACCAGGTATTTAAAGATAAGAGCTTGATGTTCAAGTTCTTGCCATTGAATTGCTGTGAAAGGAGATCCATTTCTTGCACTTGTTTCGCTTATCATTTTTGACCCTCGAAAAGCTTTAAATGTGCATAAAAATTTAAAACTACGCAGCGATGAAGAAAAGCTCAGAAGGTTTCAAAGATAAAAAGGAAATGGATTCCTACTTGTTTCTGAAGCGAAGGGCATGTTTAAGGAACTCATTGGCTACGAAGCAAGAATCTTCTTTCTGTGCATGGATAAGAGTTAAGACTAATGGCTCTCTGATGACATGCTCCTGCTGGGGTTTGTGAGAGAGTGGAGTATTGAGAGTGCTCCTGCTCTTGCAAGTTATAATGACTGAACATCTAATGGCTTTTGTCTCTTTGTTCTGCAGCTGCTGCTGTAGTCTCTGACATCGGTGCAAAAATCCATAAACAAATGAACAAAACGTAAGCAAGCAAAATTAAATTCAAATAAAGGAGAACCATGTACCTTTGGGTTTGCTGTCTCTTCACATTACATCCTGGAAAATAGTGTCATCTGGTTATGTTTGAAGTGTAAGCTGCTCAGTCACAGGACACTACAGCAAGGTTTGCCTCTATATGCTAGTAGTATTGTGGATATTTGAAGACATTATATTTTAAGAATATTTGCAGTGTTGATAAATAATATTACATTACTAGGATATTTGTAACAGCTTATTGGTAACTTTACATAAATTAAAATGTTTACTCAAAATTAGTTGATGTTTTTAAAAATTTAAAATTACCCAAAATGAAATTCATTAATTGGAGGAGGTAGTTGAGTTAGTTAAAAATAAAGATGTTTAATGAGCTTAAAGTAGTCCAAGTAAACAATAGTACTTAGGAAATAAATTAATGCCTCCTACAAAAGGCCTTACATTAAGAATCATGGGAAGAGTCTTTATACTAAAATTAAAAAGAAATTACGCGTATACATCACATTTGTCTTTCATACAATCCTCTTCTTATAAATAATTGATTGATGCGTTTCCCTCCTAATTTTTCAGCAGTGTTGTTCATTAATTTATTATAAAGTAGAAATGTGGTTACAAGTTGCTCATCATAACCTCTTGCTAGCTAGTTTGCACATTCAACAAGATCCCTTTTAGCTAGTCACATAAACATTTTTGTGATTAGGCCATAAGCAAATTATTAGTATAAGTTTAGGTGGTTTAATGAGGGAAACGAGTACCTCAATCAGATCAGGAAAGTATTAAAAGTGTTGATTGCTGAGTTTTGAGTTTAATTAGTAAGCTAAGCATAATTGCTGAAAGAGAGGAAGGAAGGGAGGTAGAAACTGATGGTTAAAGAAGGAAGATATGAAGTGGAATTTGTTTTTTTGGTATGCTGGGAAATGAGAAATGATCAAATGAGAAATGAGAAATGAGAAGTGAGGAGTGAGAGGAGAAGGCATCAGGACAGGAGGTGTCAGGCAAGGTAAGGTATTAAAACTCTGTTGCTCTCTGCCTCTCTACACATGTCCCTCCCCCCTCCTTTATTCATTTCCCCATACCTAACTCCAATTCTCTTCCCCTCCCTCCCTCCCTCACACACACACACACACACACACATTTTGGTTAACAAAACTTGGGTATCCATGATACCAACAAACCGAATTTTATTCTCTTTAATGGTTACTTGACATGATTTGATTTGAGATTTGAGATTTGCGGGACTCAATTTAAAATGGCTTTCTTAAATGTATTTTCTGCACTTATACGAATTTAAATTTGAGACTTCATAATTAAACGGTCATAACTCATCAACTAGGACTGACTTCCATTAATGAAAAAAAGCAAATTCTAAATTATAGTTAAGTCATGCAAACTCTTGTTAACATCATTTGTTCTGTTTTCCAAATTGGAATTCAAAAGTTATTGTATGTAAAGAGTATTAAACCTTTTACGTCTCAACACAAGTGCCATTATCTCTTTGCTCTATTTTTTGGCTTTCACTTTTAAAATTTCCATGCAAGCTGTGCATATATGATCAAGTATCAATATATAAAGGATAAAGCTTATTTGTAGTCCATGCATAGCTGCCAAAGAAAAGCAGGGAGATGTGTTATATAAAAATTCAATGTTCTGATTCACCGATCACTTTCTCTGTGGAGTAGATGAGACATGTATAACAGTAGATGTTACAAGAAACTCTTCTCATACAATGTCATTATATATATATTTTTTTCGGTGTAGACCACCCGGTATCCGCGCGCACATTGGCAGCCGACTAATCCGGGCTCGAGGGTTCGGAGTGCAGCAATTACCTGCGGGGTTGGTCCCTCTCCCAATGAGAGCACTTCCCGGGAATCGAACACACGTTCTCATCCTTATGGGGAGCGAGCTCACTTACCAGCTCGACCAACTGCTCGTTGGTCAATGTCATTATATTTAATCATCATCATTTTTAGTTTTCATTAGTCATTGATGTTACTTACTCTTTTTAAGGGAGCTTTGCATCATAGCACCAATAGTGGACGAGTCAAAAATGAAAGGACTTCAGAACTCCTTGAACAAATTTTCTGGTATGAGCTATTGATAATATTTGAATTTAAATCACAATATGGAATACCAGATGCTAGAGAGTAGCCATAAAAAATAGTACTACCTTTGATGCTTATAACAAGAGGTGGTTTGATCTTCAATTTGATACTAAATATAAAATTTCAGTCCATTTTATCTTTTATATTTAACTATTTTTTTAAAATAATTTTTATAATTGTTGCAAACGTTAAAGTTTTTATTAAATAGTAATTCTAGCTAATAGACATAATTAGTAAAGATATTTTTTTAAAAAAATATATATTTATTATAAATAACTAAACAAATTTTTTTAATTTATTTAAATTAGTTAACCACTTTTTATATCATATCATATTATATTGACGAGTCATCTTGACCAGGGTTGGTCTTGCTGTAAAGAAGGGCTTTTCCTGTATACCCACCATCTGCGTTATAAAACTCAAATGGTGCTGTTTATGGAATGAGTAAAGTTTGCTTTTTAGGACACTGTGGAGGGTTGGTCCTAGGGTTTTTAATGTGGCTACTGTTTGCTAGACAGCTAGGCCGCCCAAAAACACTTTAACCGCATGTGCTCATCACTTATAGATGCTGTGAATTTTTGTCTCTAGGTTCACTTGGTTTCCATCAGAAGTCAACTTTTTACTTCATAAAGTATATAAGCACAACATGTACGACATTTATTGTCTTTGAAATTCATTTGCAGCTTTAGAGCTATTTTCCCTTCTTTTTAAGTAATTAAACGAGTTCAAAATAAACATCCAAAAAACGTTCACTGCTCGTCAAAGCATTTAAACTCTGTTGTCTGTATTAGGGATGCTGTGACCGGGAGGTGCCAAGCAGTAGTGGCTCCCCTTTTCTCTTTTGAAAAGAATCTCAAAAGACAGAACGGCGATACAATGAACAAATGTTCAAACTGTTAAACAGTAAGTATTTAACTGCAGAAGCTATAGAGGAAGCCTGCTGACATGGTGGGTTACTTCATGAACATTCATTTTGCATCAAATATACACACTTTCGACTCAGTGAATGAATGTCCAATATTAAAATGTAAAGTAAAAAAGGCACAAAAGGAATCCAGTGTAAAAAGCTTGCTCTTGTATGGCGTAAATTTCTCAAAACTAAAAACCTGCTTCGTCCAGATTAAAGGTCGAGGCTGTGCAATGAATATATCTTAGCACTTAAGCAAAGAAGACTTTCCTATTATTCACACACTTTGCTGCTTCCTTTTGAAAAGCACAGCGATGTGTTTCTCTGTCAAAATGGTCTATTTTTAACCCCTCCCACGTGCCGTTGAACAGATATAATGATATATCCCAACTTCATTGTTAGTTACCAGTCATTTCAAAATTGGCTTGTGTATGTCAGTGTGTGCGTCCTTTTTTCCCCCCTTTAAGTTCTATTCATCCACATAGATGTACATAATTGCTGATCAAAACACCTTTTTCGTGGACTCTGCAAGAGAACTTAATGCGACCAACGTCTTATCTGAGAAAATTTATGCATGTATGCTTCTGCAAGAGGTTGAGTAGGTTTTACTGGGGGATTGTAAACGACTTGACCAAGGTGTTTGATAAGAAAATAAAGCTGTGAATATTGGCCTGTGTGAATGGTTCTGAATCTTCATCAGCATCAGCCATATATGGCATCAGCATCATAGGCATCATCGTACCTTAGCTTTCTGCTTTCTCTCGAGCAACGGACCTTTATGCTGGATTCTTCAAGTTACGTTATTAATGCAAATGTGATTCATACATCACAATAACAAGTACATGAACCGTAAATGTAAGAAATCATGTTAAAAGATACGAAATGACTATATTTAAAAAAAAAAAAAAGGTACTCAGGGAAAAAAAGTTACAAATTACATACTAATCAGATATTAATATCAGTAATAGAATTCAAACCAGAGACACTTGTGGGGTGTGGGGTATAATTCACATCTTTTGCACGCGTATTAATCTTCCCTGACCTGTGCATTATACTAATTCTGGTCTTAATTATAAAACTTCATCTGTAAACTATAAACAAGATCTTATACTCCTCCAATACTAAATATAAGACTCTTATATTAATTTGTTAGTGGGAGAAAGAGGGTCCCATTTGTGAAATACGTAATAATGGCGGGTAGTCAAAATCCAGGTTGACAACCTGACATAGACTAGGCATTGCTTCTTCAATGCATAAATAGGAGAAGCACACAAGTAACATGCCTATTTAATGTACTGTTTGACTGCTGAGATAGCTCACTCATTTACGCAACGAGCGCCCACAATTCTTACAGTGAAACTTTTACATTTTTAGTACACTGTGTAGAAAAAATAACACATGATAAAATCTGATGGGAATAATGGATAAAATGGTTTTAAGAAGCCTGAACGCAATAATAAGTTTCGCAAGCCAAGTCGTTTTCCACTTAATTAAGGCGGTCCATTACAGTCGAAGATAAAGGCCCAATCATCTCGGAAATGGTTAGTACATGTGCATCACCTTTTCAGGCTCACTTCTTTTAATCCCTTCCATTAGACCCAATTTCCATCGTTAGCTCACTTCCTTTATTAACTAGGCTTTCCTTGTGAAATTTCCAAAGTCACTTGTAAACAGAACAGAACGGACTCTCTTTTATTGGGGCTCTATATGCAACTCCTCTACACCATTTGTTGGAGACACGATCACGCAAACAAGGCGTTTTTGGCGTTGGGCAAACGGCACAGCAGTTTAATTCCGCGAGTAGTAACATCGTCGCTTTGTTATTATCCCAAAAGAAGAAAATCAAAACGCTCTATCTTAATAACTCACTTATTTGTAATATAATATTAAAATTAACTTGAAAATACGTTGCCTCTCAAAATTGGACTCCTGAGTTTACTGATTCCTTGACGCAGGACACTCTCCAAGACCCAACACCAGCGAATTAGCTTCTCGCACTTGTTCAACGCCCAACAAAAAAATAAAGAAGAGGAGGATTTTTCAGGGAATCTCGTTAACATCTTTGTTCTCTTTGTTAACCAGATTAAATAAAAATTAATCAAATATGATTACGGTGATTTCTTGGAAATAAAATGTGCAGCTACAAGGGATCAATGAATGGTATGAAGCATCGGGAGCATGATCATTGAATCGAAGTTAGCGAGTTCATAGCAGAAACATAGGTGCTCTGTACAGATACGCATGTGTGCAATGTGCCGCTAACTGTGCTATCTTGTTATGTTATGTTAAAACCGATCAAAGGTCAGCTTCTTGAGCCAACCATGCCAGTTGAAGCAGGTTCAGTTAGCCCCCTATTATACATACGCTGGATTTCTTCCCTATACTCTGTCAGAGACTTGTCAGGTATGGCAGGTGTAAGCTCCACCACATCTCCCATAATCAACTTACACTTGGGATCGTTCACAGGCTCATAATTCAGCCGTGGCCTTAATTCTTCTTTCAGTGGAAATCTGTATGGGGTCCACTTAGAGCTTCCTCGCCCAGCTCTCTCCAGCAAGTCCATCACCGTTGAGTTTGCAGGAAACTCCTGCACAGACATCTGCATATATACATGCCCAGGCAAGAACTCCAGTAAGTTGAGAGGGGAAAAGGGGGAAAAAGGACTAGCTAAGTCCTGTTGTTTTGAGTTACTTGAAATTTATCAGCTTCTAAGAATAAAAACCTGGCCAGATAATAGAACGCGAAATTCAGATATGTAGATCTGTGACACAAACCTTATCATTCTCGATCAAGATGATAAACACAGGGCCATCCTGACCACAATGAGGTTTGTAGGAATGTGGACAACCATCAGCATGGGAAGGGAACTTGCATGGTGGCTTGACTGAATCAGAACATCCAATAGCTGAACAATCTTTGTTCATTGTCTCGCAATGCCAGGTGACAACCCATCGAGCCCACTCAACCATCTGAAGCACAAATGAAGAATGCTGGCAATCACCTTCCTTGTATCTCCAATGAGCAGCAAATCCAAATTCTGCTTGCAGGTGCATCTCTTTTGTCCGGATTTGTACTTCAAGGGGAACCTTTCCTTCACCCAGCACAACAGCATGCAGAGATTTATACCTATAATCACACAATAAAAGAGTCAGACAAAATATAGATGTCCAAACGCAAGTTTAGACTTAAGAGCACCAATACTGAGTTAGTACATACCCATTGAACTTCGGACGACGAATGTAGTCCTTGAACTTTCCAGGTACCTCGGACCATAACCGGTGAACAACTGTCAAGGCTTTATAACAGTCCTCCTCCTTGTCAACAATCAAGCGCAGCCCATAAATATCATGAATGTCATTCATGCTTAGTTTCTTCCTGCAAATATAAACATACACCCATGAACATTTAAGGATCCTTGGCTTACTACTCTAGTTCGCCAAATGGAAGGTAACATGCAAGTTTTTTCTTTTGTTTTTTTTTTTTTGGGGGGGGGGGGTTACAAACATGCAAGTTCAAATAAAACCTACTGCAGCTGAAGAGATGCCGGAACTCTCCAACAACTCCAAAAACAAATATTTATGTTTACAAGCATTTTTGCAGTAGCACTTCCCCCCCCCCCTTCTCCCTTAACACAGATCTTGTGCAATATAATACGCTTCAAACAATCCTTCCTGACCCAAAAAAAGGAAGTTCCTAGCATCATCTTCATATATTTACTCAAATTCAGGAACGGAAGTACAAAGCAAATTAAGGGATAGGTGGTACGTACTTCAGCATTTTGCAATAAATGCTATACAGGCTCTTGTGCCGCCCAGAAAGGACATGATAAGAAATGCCTTCATCTTTGAGTGCTTGCTCTAATTTCTCTATAGCAGAAGTAATCATTGCATCATCAAATGATTCCACAAGCTTCGAAGAAATCTCCTGATGCTGTTCTGGATTGAGATGCTTAAAACATAAGTTCTCCAATTGCTCCTTCCAACTAGATATTCCCAATCGATTGGCCAAAGGTGCAAAAATCTCCAAGGTCTCCTTCGCAAACCTTTGCTGTTTGGCCACTGGCAATGCATCTAGTGTCATCATATTATGTAATCGATCTGCCAATTTGATGAGGACAGCCCTTGCATCAACCATGGCAAGGAACATGGTATGCAGCCGATCTGCCTCAACTGATTTGCATGCCGTATTATTCTCTCGTGCAAGCTTGCTCAAGTGACTGAGTTTAGAAACCTGAAATGCCACATAGATTAGACAGAATCCACAAGGGATCAAACAATCAACATCTAGCATTCAAAACATACATAACAACCAATTTAAGAACCTATTTAATGAGATTAAGAGAAAGATGATTTAAGATGAACATCCGATGTCTAGTTCAAATTCAAAACTCAGAAGGCTCTATTAATGATTAGCATCTATTTAAGGTAAACATATCAGAAGTTCATTTCGATGCAAATTGATTTAAATCTCAAGAAACACATTACTCACCCCTTCAACTAAATCAGCAACCCCAGCGCCAAAAAGCCCAAAGATGTAATCGTAAGTCAGAAAAGAATCATCAAGCGAGTCGTGCAAAAGCCCAGCGGCCACAACTGTGGAATTGGCACCAATCAAAGCAAGCAGAACCGCTGTTTCGACACAATGCTGCAAATATGGATCACCAGAAGCTCGCATCTACAGAAACACATTTAAAACCTTTCAACTCACGACAATAAACCCACCAATCACATGATCCATACGTAGAGTTTACAAATCTCGATTTAATTACCTGCCCTCTGTGCGCTTTCTCGGCTTCACAAAAAGCCTTAACAACGAATTCTTCACAAAAGATCTTGTGCTTCAACTGGGCACCCAAAAGCAATTCTCTAGCATACGGCTCGAAAGTTCCCCCCACAAAAGAATCCTCCAAATTGAAGGTCAGCTCATCCGCTACAGAAGATGAAGAACCCAAATCTATTTCACCACCACGCAGCTCGAAAGTTGGCGAATTGTAATCCAAGCATGAACCCAATGAATTTCTCACCAAGCCATCTAACAATCCACTGTCCCTACATCGAATTGAGCTATCCCCTCCGATCCTCATTGGGGAACTCCTTGCGGAACCAGAAACGCTACTGCTACTACATGAAACGGGTCCTTGGAAAACCGAAACAGGGCTCTGATCTCTTTTCCAAGAAGACCCAGCAAATTTGCTCGGTGAATAGGAGAATGAGCTGCTCAATTCCTTTAATTCAGATAAGAGACCCAATTCCTCTCCGCCGACAGGAAAGCTCGACAAGGGAACGGGCTTCACCGTCGGAGAAGAGAATAAACACGAAAGGCCACTCATTCCTGGTTTTTGAGATGGGGACGCCGTCGTGGAGGAGGAGGACGACGACGATCGCGAACCCAGATCGAAATCGTATGATGCATGGGTGTTGATATGGCAAGGATGCGCAGTGGAACACACACTGCTCGGTGGGCTGGCGCATAAAGCGATAGTGGACACCGTCATGTTTCTTCTTCGTATCTTCGCCTACTGGGTTTCGGATCCCAAACTCAGAAGCACCAAACAAACAAATAAATATAATTTTTTAAAAAATCTAAAGTCAAATATATGAATCAGCAAACTATTTAATTTTTTCTAGAAACCCACAAGCAATTTCTTGAAGCCCCAATGAACTTTGAGCGAAGGACTCTCTCTTTTCTATGTAGGGACAGTTTTGAAAAACCCACTGCCAGAAAAGAAGCACGGACAGAGGATTCGGTATGTGTCTATACAGAAACAAATTTGAACAATTCAAAGATCCAGCGCTGATTCGAGAAGTACAAACGAAGGAAATGAACAGGGTTATGTACATACAGATTTTATAGAAAAGAGAGGTCCAGAAAACAAAAGAGGCCTGAATAGAGGGGAATTTACAACGGGTTAACGCAACTGATTTTCGAGGAAGGAGGGAGAAAGAGAGTCAAATAGGATTGGAAATTAAACGAAGGCTGCGTCCGAGATTTGTCTCCGAAGAATCTGTCGTGCGTTTTTTTCCTGAGCTGCTTGTTGTGTTGTGGAGGGGAAAGGTTTGGAAATGGCAGGGAGTGAGAATTTACAGTATTGACCTCGAAGTAATCCGCTAATAACGGAATCTCCAATTGCCAGTAATCATCATCTTCCCAAATGGGGGATTTGGGATTACAAAATAAACAGTGATTAGAAACTTCTTTGATGATCCGGTGGCTTTCAGTTAATTGATGTAAATTTAGCAATGTTTGGGCTCCCATGAATCTAGACGGTCTTCAGGGGAGATGAGAAGGCTAAGAGCTCCCGCGGAAAATGTAAAAAACTAGAAATTTCTCATGCGTAAGACGTACAAATTAGCATATTTGATTAAATTTAAAATTTTAATAAATTATATTATTTAAGATAACTGAAGATTTACTTCTAACATGAGTATAGTTTTTAATTTATTTTAATGAATTTGAATCAGAGATGCAGAATTTATAGAGAATAGAGGAAACTTTGAAATTAATTATTTATTTTTTCATTTAAGGCTCTAATTGACATACTACCTCCGGTCCTAATTATAAGAGTCAGTTGACTAATTTGAGGAGATTAAGAAAGCAAGTTGAGTTAGTTATTTATTCTAAATAGGTGTTGTCTTTCCTAAAATATCCTTACTAATCAAGTATATTGACTAGAATTATCATTGTTAGAAGGGTTATTTTGAAAAAATATATATAAATATGAGAGATAAAGTGGATTGGAGTCTTATATTTAAGAACAAAATAAAATTCAAGTAGGGTCTTATATTAAGGACTGGAGGTAGTACTATTTAATTATGATACTGTCCATTTAATGTAATATATTAAAATCCCAATTAAGATATTATTCAAATTCAAAATTAATTATTAATTTTTAAATTTGAGCCTCCATTTGAAATTGCATTTATTTATTATATTTTTCATTTAATTCAATATATTCAAATCTCAATCAAGATGTTATTTAAATATCATTAATTTAATATATTCGTATCTCGTAATTGCATACCCGACCCATTTTTAAATGAGTCGGGTATTACAAATTTTCAAGAATATAATTGATTGATGATTGATTGATTGATTGATGGAGTGATTGATGATTAGGGAAGCAAAAGAATAAAGCAGGCAAATTTTTTCCACAAAGATGAAGCAGAAATGACTATGGTTATTGGCTGAGTATGATTTATATTACCATTTCGGTACTTAATATAAGATCTATTTAACTAATCTGATTAGATTAAAGAAGTTAAGTAAGTTAGTTAACTATAAGAAATATGACATGTTTTTTCTGAAACATCATAATTATCTTCCTTAATATTCTCCCTCCCTATTCTACTTAATCATTGTTGAGGAAGTATCCTAAGGATAATTTTAAAAAAAATTTGATAAATATAAAAAATAAGTCTTATATTTATGATTATAATTAACTCAATAATTAGGTTTAATATTAAATAGCGTGGAGAATATTCTTAAAAAATACTCCCACATGTTTCAATGATCTTGCCGGAGAGGGAGGGAATATAATCTGCTCTTGCAGTTGCAGGAAACGACACAAATCCTTAAGCATGAAGGTATCATTCTCTAGTAAGTTTTTCCCCTGATTATAATATAATTATCAATTTAATATATAAAGTTTTTATTGTAAGATTATGTAAAAATAGATAGATTCGGAAATTTTAAAAAACAACTGCTCAGGCTGCCTTTTATTATTGTGTTGGCCCCATTAACAACAATTCGGATAAGAGACGGAATGGGTAAAGAAATGGGAATAAAGGATAAGATTTAGGGTGATGTCATCAATTAATAAAAGAAAAAAAATAAATACAGAACGGAAGTAAACTAGCTAAAGCGCAATTCAGTTAGGAAAAATTAGTTTTAAATACATGTTTGAAGAAATAAATAATTACTCAGTGGTCTTAAAATTTAGAAAAAGCATGAGATTTTTTAGAGTACCAGTAATTTTATGTATAAAAGCACATAACGTTAAATTCAGAAGCCAATGGATAATTAACTCTATAAACGGATATGTGGGGGGATTTTTCTTTTGCATGAATAATTGGATTTAGAATTTTGAAAAAGGAGTTGTGTTAAGGATAGTGGAGCCAGTGGGGTCAGCAGCGTGCGTGAATGCACTGCACGGATAAAGTAATGATCAATAATTGATTGAAACGTTGATTATTGCTTCGGCAACAAAAGCATAATTAGCACACGCGCTTTATTTATTACTCTTCCGATTCTTAATATAAGATCTATTCTTTCGGTCTTTATTATAAGACTTTATTTAACTTTTTATTTGGTCCTAATTATAAGACCCCAATCTATTTTGTCTCTTATATTTATACATTTTTTCCCAAGATAATCTTTTTAATAATGATAGTTTTAGCCAATATACTTAATTAGTAAGGATATTTTAAGAATGACAACACTTATTTATTATAAATAACCAACTTAACTTACTTCCTTAATCTCCTCAAATAAGTCAATTGGGTCTTATAATTAGGACCGGAGGAGTATTTAACTAATTTAATTAGATTAAAAAAATTAGGAAGTTATTTAATTATAAGAAATATGATATTTTTTTCTGAAATATCATAATTATTTTTCTTAATACCCTATCTTCCTCTTCTACTTGATTATGGTTGAAGGAGTATCTATAGGGGTATTTTAGAAAAAATTAATAAATATGAAAAATTGGTCTTATATTTAGGACCAAAACCAACTCAATAATTGGATCCTATATTAAGGACTGGAGATGTATTTTTATTTTATTTTATATTTTTGCAAACACTTTATTATGCTGCCTCTGGTTCTTAATATAAGATCTTGTTTGATTTTTATTTTATTTCTAAATATAAGATCTCAATCCACTTTATCTATCATATTTATATATATATTTTTTAAAGTAGTCCTTCTAACAATGATAATTCTAGCCAATGCACTTGATAAGTAAAGATTTTTAGGAAAGACAATACCTATTTAGAACAAATAACTAACCGAACTTATTTTTTTAATCTCTTTAAATTAGTCAACTAGTTTTTATAATTATAACCGGAGTTAATATATATTTTCGACTTTCGTGCTTATCTGCATTACGCTGTCCAATTTTATGCCAATTAAAAATTGTGCGAGAAAGCTTTTAGAAGAAGAAACGCATGCGATGTTTTCTTCAGATAAAAACAGTGTATTTATTTCCTTTTTTTTTTTTCGCCTGGGAAAAAAAAAAAAAAAAAGCAGAGTGTATCAGATCACCTCTTTTCCGTCCCTCTTCTAGGCGAAACGTAAAACCAGTTCAAAAAGCCGTAAAACGTCGGTGTCATGGAGCGATGAATGTTATGTATTTATCCCAATTTGAAAAAAACAAGTAGGACCGGGCTTCTAGAAGAGGAAACGTGTTGCCAAGAGTTTGTATTTATTTTAGTAAAGATTTAGGTAAGTTTAATTTAAATGATTGTAAACGGTACGAGATGAGCACGCAAAACACACTTCATCTCGTATCCACATATAATTAAAAATTATAAATAAATTTTTATAAAAAAGTGTCTATTTGTATATGTTATTTAAGAGAAAACGAGCCCTACGTTCGTAGACGAAATAACACAGCAATTCTGGGTGAGTTGGAGTGCGCAATGGGGAATGCATATTTTGTTAGGCATGTTAATAATTATGGAATAAATTTTCATTTGGAAAAAAAGAGAGAAAATAACAAAAACAGAACCTAAAAATTACTGAATTTCAAAAGGGGAAATTGCAAATAAAGACCCCTCAATATATAAAAAGGCAATCAGGGACCCCCAATTTGAGAAATTGCTGCAGAGGACCCGGTCCCAATTTGCAATTATGAAATGTAAGGAAAATGGCTGAAATGCCCCTCACTCATTTGAAAAGAAAAAACCTGTCCGCGCTCTCCTCCCCCCCAAAACGCGCGGTAACTTCCTTTGTATATCCCGTCGGCCATTCTTTGCGGTGTGCTCTGTTTATTTGTGCGCAAGAGTTTGTTTCCATTTTGCGGCGATAGGAGTATTGTGTGAGAGAAGAGTGTATTTGCTGTGGGAGAGGAGAACGGAGTCGTGCTGGAATAGTGATCTATCGACATCATCAAAGGCAAGGGAAGAGGTAGAGGCATCGTGACAGTCGTGTGTGGCTATCAAAGTTAACAGCGGCATTTGGCGACAAAATCTGGTGGTAAGTTTCAAGCTTTAGTTTGTTTGTGTTCGTTGCTGCCTGTGTGATACATTAACGAGAGGGAAGGGAATGCGTTTAGGGCAGGAACGTATATATATGTTTTTTCTGTTGAATATGCTGTGACTGATTGGCGAAAAATGGTTATCTGTGGAAGAAGATGGGCGAATGGGTTTGGGTGGGAAGGGAATTAGAAGATCAGTTAGGAGGATGACAAGATTAGTTTGGGAAATGACGACACTTGAATGGGTAAAGGGCAAATTGAATTGGTTAACTATTAATTGATCTGAAGAGATGTTGAAGTGATAGTGTCGTTTAAAATGACAAAATTGAAGTAGGGGGATTGACAAGTTGATAATGCAAAATAAGAATGTGTAATTGACAAGTTGGTAATAGAAAATAACAAGTTGAATATAATGAATAACAAGTTATTGAGCAGTTGGGAATAAGAAGGTTGCCATGGGTTCCTAACAAGTTAACAATAGGAAATGACAAGTTTAAAAATGACAATAAGAAGTTGGGAATAAGAAAGGCGATTATGACAAATGGAGAACTTTATAATGTAAAATAACTAGTTGATAATTATAAATGACAAGTTAATGATGAGAAATAACAAGCATGAGAAGTAGTTGAGACTAACAAGTTTACTTTGAGAAATTAACAACTTGCTTATATGAAATTACAAGTTCATGTTTCGAAATAAGAAGTAAATGGTGGTGATGTAAGAAGGCTGTTGGTTACAGAATAGGTTGTTAACAGAGGTGATAGTTAGTTAGTAAATGTGGTTGTGAAGGATTGTATGTTGAATATTTT